TTCTTCAGGATGGCTGGGGTTCCCAACACGGTCCTTCTCAGGGATGGCATGGATTCCCATCGTGGTCCTTCTCCAATATGCCCTGGGTCTCTGTCATGGTCCTTCTCCAGGGTGGTTGGGGTCCCCGTCATGTAGCTTCTCCAGGATGGCTGGGGTCCCCATCGTGGTCCCTCTCCAAGATGCCTGGGGTGCCCATTGCAGTCCTTCACCAGGATGGTGGAGGTCCCCATCAAAGTCCTTATCTGGGATGCCTGGGGTCCTCATCATGGTTCTTCTCCAAGACACCCAGGGTATCTGCATTGAGGTGCTTCTCCTGGATGCCTGGGATGCTCAGCTATCACCCTTCTCCCAGATGCTGAGGGTCTCCATTGTGGTCCTTCACTGGGCCAGGATGCCTGCATTCCCCAGCCACAACTCTCTCTGGATGCCCACGGTCCCTGGCCCTTCTCCAGGGTCCCCGTTGCCTGCTGCTGTAACCCTTCTCTGGGATGCCCAGTGTCCCCTCACTGGGACACCTGTTGTCCCCATCGCTAGGGACAACATTTCATCCCCTTCTAAAAGTCCCGTGAGAGCTCATCCTGCAGCGCCCCGGGTGCTGGGGTGTGGGGAGATGCCGAACCCCATGTGCAATCCCTGGAGTCCCGGAGGTGTTCCCATCCATAGCCCTGGGCTGAACCAGTGGAGATTGAAACCACCCCATCACCAGCATGCTGGGGGGCAGTGGGGACTGGCGGGAGGGATGAGGGACATCGGGGTGTCCTCAATCACTCCAAATGTGGTGGCTCTGCTCCCGCAGGGCTGAGCCCGGCCCCCGGCAAGGCACTGAGCCCTGTGCTGCTGTGCAAGGTGTGCGGGGACACCAGCAGCGGGAAGCACTACGGCATCTATGCCTGCAATGGCTGCAGCGGCTTCTTCAAGCGCAGCGTCCGCAGGAAGCTCATCTACAGGTGGGGACAGGGGTGGGGGGTCCCTATGGGGCGAGGACAAGGAGGACAGGCAGTCAGCAGGACAGGGACCCAGGAGATGGACACCCAGAGGGGCAAGGACCTTGGGGGGGGACTCCCAGCCGGACAGGGACTAGGGAGACAGGCATCCAGTGGCGTAGGGACGCATGGGATGGGCACCCAGCAGGGTAAGGACTTAGGGGATGAGCACCTAGAGGGACACGGGTGCAGTGGATGGGAACCCAGCAGGGCAAGGCCCCAGGGGGAAGGACAGCCATCAGGGTAGGGACCCCAGAGCATGGACACCCAGTGGGACAGGGACCGGTGGGAGAGGCACCCAGCAGAGCAGGGATCCAGAGGTTGGACACCCAGTAGGGCAGGGACCCAGGGGAATGGATATCCAGTGGGACAGGGACCTCAGGGGACAGGGACCTTGAGGATGGACACCCAGTGAGGCAGGGACTAGGGGCACAGGCACCCAACAGGGTAGGAACCCACAGGATGGACACCTAGTGGGGCAGGGACCTGAAGGGGGGGTCCAGATCCCCCATGGGCCAGGACACCCATCAAGGCAGGATATTCACTGGGAGAGTGCACCCATGGATAGGACAGGGTGTCTGTTGGGGCAGGGCATCCATTGGGTGGGGGCCACCAGTTGGGGGGGGAACAAGACCTCCAACGGGTATAAAGCATCCCCAGGACATGACGCTCACGGGGGCAGGACACCTCTGAGGGACAGGGGCCACCCCAGGGGCTGCAGCCAGGTGCCACCTCTCCCCATAGGTGCCAGGCGGGGACAGGGCTGTGCCCAGTGGACAAGGCGCACCGCAACCAGTGCCAGGCCTGCCGGCTGAAGAAGTGCCTGCAAGCCGGCATGAACAAGGACGGTGAGAGGGGTTGGGGGACACATGGTGACCGATGGCGGGAATGATAACGGTGTGGCTGGTGCTGATGCCACTTTTTCCCCACAGCCGTGCAGAACGAGCGCCAGCCCCGCAGCACGGCCCAGGTCCGGCTGGACAGCATCGAGCTGGAGGCTGAGCTGCCCCCCGAGAATGTGGCCACCACCCGTGAGGTTCCCCCCACCCCCTGCCCAGCTCCCCGTGGTCCTGGTGCCACCGTTGCTGTCACCCCAGGTCCCCGAGCACCCACGCCGCCCACCAACCATCGCTTCATGGCCAGCCTGATGACGGCCGAGACCTGCGCCAAGCTGGAGCCCGAGGATGGTGGGGGGCCACCGGGGGGGGGGGAGCCAGCCCCGAAAATGTCTACGAGACCTCAGCACGTCTCCTCTTCATGGCTGTGAAATGGGCCAAAAACCTGCCCGTCTTCTCCAACCTGCCCTTCCGCGACCAGGTGGGGTGGGGGATCCCCCATGGGTTAGACGGGATCCCAAAATATGTAGGCAACCAGTGGGATGGGGATGGCTGGAGCACCCCCACAACATTCACCACAGGGTCTCAGGGTGCCCCTCAGAAGATGCTCTTCAGCCCAACCCACCATGGTGGCTGCAGGTGCTGAAGACCTTGGGGGTGACGGGATTTTGGGGCTCGCCCCCCCTCTCTCCCCAGGTGATCCTGCTGGAGGAAGCATGGAGTGAGATGTTGCTGCTCTGTGCCATCCAGTGGTCCATGCCCCTGGAGAGCTGC